TTACTCACCGAGCGGCCTAGAAAAAAACCTCGTCCCTAAGGGCTTTCAGCGTATTTTTCGATGCGTTTTTCTCGATGAAAGAATTTTTTTTTTGAATTTTTTCTTTATTTTTATGTCAATCTACATGCATTTCTGCACATTTTGATGCAATAAAAAATTTCACCGTACACCACCTTTAATTTTTAATGGCTTTTTGAGTCAGCTTGGGTATCAGATAGATCTCGACGAGCCTCGTATTCTGGATCTAAAGATACCACCGAGAACAATTACTACGCAAAACTACCGTAATCACTCTACTAGGAGTTTCAATTTCGAGCCAATTTATCTCGGTTACTGTAACAGATATCAAAAAGTGGTTAACTGATAAAATGTGCTTGATATTATGATAAACATTTTGTCAGTTGACCACTTTTTGGTATCTTTCACAGAAATCGAGATATTTGAGCTCAAAGTTGACGGTTTGGGGCTTTTCCGAATTTCTACAATTTTCGAATAGAGGGCATAGCATATTCTGTCGTCGCCCTGCTCAACTCTGATCATTCTCTGTACACTGACTATGTTGTCTGCTGTAACACATTTTCAACAATGACATCATCACTCACTCATTGTTGTTGTTGTTTTTCTCTCTCGAAGAGAGAAAATAAGAAAAAAAGAAAGCATGAGATTGAACCAGTCAGATCAATATCTCTGTTCCATGGAAGAGGAAAATAAGGGGGGAAGAGGACTATGGACTCATTCAGAAACAACAATGAGAAGCACATGTGTTTCGTTTTGTCTTTTTTGTTTCTCGAATATTCTCTTGTCTCGTTTTTAATGACTTTAAAGGGACATGGAGTTGTCGATTTTTTTTTTGAGCGATTTTTTATGAGACGGTTGTTCATCGGAGATTTATGATTTTTTGGGATTTTTGGCTTAAAATAGTCCTGGTTGAAATTTTCAATTTTGGAGATTTCGAGTTCCCGTAGAGGTTTTAATGCCATTTTTAACGATCTTCTTCGGATTTTCGTAGTTTTTGGTTTTTCCTGGATTTTCAAATTCTGTGGTTCTCGGATAACTGACTTTTCAGATTTCGGGATTTCTCGATTTCTGAATTCTGAGTTCTGGAGCTCATGGATTCCTGGTTTCCGGGTAACCTTGATTTCAGATTACTGAAATTCTGGATTTTCAGTTTCTTGGGTTCTTGGGTTCTTATTTTCCTAGGTTCCTAGGTTATCAGAACACTGAGTTTTTGGATTTCCGAATTTCAGATCCCTTGGATTCCGGGTCACCTGGATTCTTGATTCCTAGTTTCCTAGATTCTTAGTTTCTTAGAATTCTTAGATTGCCTGGATTCCAGGTTGCTGACATTTTGGATTCCTAGATTTTTAGGCTCTTGGATTCTTAAATCACTGAATGATTGGATTTCTGAATTTCTGACGTACTGGGACTTGGATTCCTGGATTCTAGATTGCTGACATTCTGGATTCTTAGATTCTTAGGATTCTTAGATTCAGGCTCCTAGGTTATCAGATCACTGAGTTCTTGGATTTCCGAATGTCAGATCCCTTGGATTCCGGGTCACCTGGATCCTTGATTCCTAGTTTCCTAGATTCGTAGATTCCTAGATTCTAGACTTCAGCATTTCCAGACGATGTTTTTTGGGTTTCGAATTTCCAAGATGAAAAATTCTGCGTCTCTCAATTTCTCTCTATCTCTAATCCGTCAAAGAATGAATAGATGACACATAGAATTAGTCTACTCTACGCTCTGAAATTAGCTTCAATTTATTTTCTATCGGTTTTGACCAATTTTACTAGAGAAAGAAACGTTTTGGAGCGTTTTCGAAGATTTTTGGATCTATAATTCAGCCGAATTCCAGCCAATTTTTCAGTGCTTTCTGACCCGAACTTCGTCGATATTGGGCTGTTGGTCTGAATCTGTCTGTACACCTGTCGGTCCGGATGTCCTCGTGACCTCTTTTTTCGGCCTTTTTAGTCGATTTTTCAGCCGATTTTTCCCATTTATTGTTTCACACTATTTTCATATCTCTGTTCTCTATCTTCTTTTTTTCCTTTTTTTCGAGAAAAAAAAGTGAAAAAAGGCTACTTCCGATACTGTGTCGCCGTCGTTTGCACTCTCGTCGACCTTTTTTGTGTGTCATTTTTGATACTTTGATAGAAGAAGAAGAAAAATCGAGAGAGATATTGAGCGAGAGACTCCAGAGAAACAGAGCACATTATTGATAACTCGATGTTGTCCTTATCACCCATGGTGTCGAATAGGGGAAAAAGGACGTTTGTTGGGCATAGTGTTTGCTCCTTTGTCAAACTATTCTGCTTCATATTTTTACGCTTTTTGGCTGAAATTTGAAATTTTATTCTGTCGGATTTTTCTGGAAATTTCTGAGACTTTCTGGGGTCTATTCGGCTAAAAAAAACCATGGTTCTTGGTCGGAAGAGCAAGGATAGAAAGGCGAAGAGTGATGATAATGAGGTAGGCACGGTCTTTGGGTTGTTGCAAATGTGCTCTGGTGGACTCTGGAGCTTTGGCGAACTTTGGCTGTGACCGTGTAGCTCGACGGCAATCTTAGATTCTTGAATTCCTAGATTCCTAGATTCTTAGATTTTTGAAATTTTAGATTCCTGGTTTCTTAGATTCCTGGATTTTTGGATTCCTAAATTCCTGGATTGTTAGATTCGTGGATTCTTACATACCTGGAATTTTGGCCCCGCACATTTTTCAAAAGGGGCGGAGCTTAAGATAATTAAGAACTCTGGGCGGTTTTCAGTTCAAAACAAGCATCTCCACCTATTTTTATCTCCCTAGGATCGTTTTGAATTTCTAGACTTCACCCATTTTTTGCAATTGTGCGGCAGAGTTTTCGAAAATTCAGAGTATCCTCTGAACCACAGTCGGGATACAGTAATCCGGGTGAAACTCCAAGAATTTGAGATTCGAATTTTTGAATTCCTAGATTCTTGGATTCTTGGCGTTTCACTCGCGTTATTGTATCTAGACTGTGGTACACGATTCTCTGGATCCCCCGAAAACTATGCTGCACAATTGCAAAAAGTGGGCGGAGTCTGAAAATTCAAAAAAAATGACCCTAAAGAGATGAAAATTGGCGGAGATGCGAGTTTTGGACAGCGAAATTCGATTTTGAGATTATTTTCAGCTCCGCTCTCTTTTTGCAATTGTGCGGCACGGTTTTCGAAATTCCAGAGAATCCGTGGAATCACACTTTCGGTACAGTAATCAGGATGAAACGCCAAAAATCTGAAAATCGGATTCTTGATTTCCTGGATTCTTAGATTCTTAGATTCTTAGATTATGAAATTCTAAAATTCTAAAATTCTAAAATTCTAAAATTCTGAAATTCTTGGATTCTGAAATTTTGAGATTCTGATCATTTTGCAACAATTGTGTTCTCTGAATCCTTCTTCTCCTTCGTCTCCATTTTTGTCACCTCATCCATCATTAGGTTCAGCGCCATAATACCAGTTTCTGACCCCTCTCAAACGCCCCCTTTTGTAGAGGAAAAAGTGAAAATTTTGAGAGAAAAAATGAACAGATATGATCTCAAAAAAATCAGATCGATCAAAATCGAAAAAAAAATGAAAATTTTCCCACTATTCCCCCGATTCCAGGCACCTGATCCATCGGCAAAGTACTCGATGGCACAGACGAAGGACGGCGGCGATTTGTCGCGTCCCGCCGGACTACCGGTGAGTTTTTCGAATATGCAAATTGAGGTGAGTTCTTGCTGGAATTCTGGAAAGCTGAAAAAATCTGAAAAAAATGGAGATTTTTGGCTGAAAATCGGAAAAAAAATGACCCGGGTTTGGCCATTTGCAGTTGGTGGCCTAGAAAACCAAATTTTCACAAAGTTAGGTCATCAGGAGTTGTTGAGCCGGTTTCAGAGTTTGAAAAACTCAACTTTAAACATAGTTATAGCCATTTGCAGTTAGTGGCCTAAAATTCCAAGACATTGGGTTTCTAGGCCACCAACTAGAAATGGGCGTCGCTATGGCTGAAACTGAGTTTATCTGGATCTAAAGCCGGCTCAAAAACTCCCTGAAAATGCTCTTTCGCCTTTTGCGCCCTATGGCCTAACTTTTGAATAATTTGGATTTTTCTAGGCCACCACCAAATGATGGGCATGACGACTATGGCTGAAATCGGAGGTTTTCGGCTGAAATGAGTTACATTTTTCGTTCGAAAATCCTCATTTTTCCAGTTAAAAAACAATTGCTCATCTAGTAAATGCTCATTCAAAAAATCCCATTTTTCCAGAACAATGGGAATCCTTCTTCCTCGTCGTCTACAGTAATCCCACCGCCAGCTGCGAAGTCCGGACCAGCCGCCGCCTCGTCAAAAGGAACACCAGTGGCACCGTTGAGGAATCGTAGAAGAAAGGTGAGCAGGACATCCAAACAGATGGATAGACAGAGGGAAGGGCTACAAATCCCCGGAATACTGGCTGAAAAATGGCTGGAAAATGTCTGAAAAAAGGAACATCCGGATGTTCGGACACACAGACAGACTTTTTCTTTGAATTTTGCCGAAATTAGGCATCAAAAGAAAGGCGATGAAGTTTATGCCACACTGAACTTTTATCACTTTTCTTTGTTGATAAAATTTATAGCCTTGGAGTTTGTTCTTCTCTCGGTTTTAGACCCTTTTTGGCACATTTTTAATGACGAATTTCTATTTTTTTTTTTTGTTGAAAAAAACGTATTTTTATCACAATTTTGGAGCGCTGTGTTTGCTCACATTTTCCATTGACCCAATTGGGTTTTGTGACTTTTGGTTATTGAGTTTTGGAAAACTGAAAAATTGAGGAAAAGTCAGGAAGAATGATCGTGGCCTAGAAAACCAACTATTCGAAAAGTTACGCCATAAAGAAATAGAGTCTTTTCTGGCAGTGGTTGATCAGGTTTCAGGCAATTATGACTGTTTTCAGTTGGTGGTCTAGAAAACCGAATATCGGAAAAGCTAGGCTATCTGTTACAAAAGGCGAAAGAGGCTTTCCTGGCAGTTGTTAAACAGGTTTCAGATTCCAAAAAGCTCAATTTCAGCCATAGTTACACCCATTTTAGTTGGTGGCCTAGAAAACCAAATTTTGAGAAAGTTAGGCCACCAAGAAATAGAGCCTTTTCTGAGAGTGGTTGATCAGGTTTCAGACAATTATGACTATTTTCAAGAGGTGGCCTAGAAAACCGAATCTCTGAAAAAGTTAGGCCATTGATTACACGACTCGGAGAAGCCTTTTACATGTGTTATTGAACAGGTTTCAGATTCCAAGAAGCCCAATTCGGGACTATTTTTTCCAAGAAGCCCAAATGACTATTTTTAAGTGGTGGCCTAGAATTCCAAATTTTGCAAAAAGTTAGGCCACGAAGTAATAGAGCATTTCCAGGAGTCGTTGAACAGGTTTCAGATTCCAAGAAGCTCAATTTCAGCCATAGTTACACCCATTTTAAGTTGGTGGCCTAGAAAACCGAATTTCGAAAAAGTTAGGCCCCAAGAAATATTGCATTTTCTGAAAGTTTTTCATAATGTTTCAGGCATTTATGACTGTTTTAAAGTGGTGGCCTAGAAAGCCAAATCTTTGAAAAGTTGGGCCAGCAATAATTAGAGCTTTTTCCGGGAGTTTTTGAGCAGCTTTTAGATTTCGAAAATCTCAATTTTAAAGATAGTTATAGCCATTTGTATTCAGTGGCCTAGAAACCCAAAGTTTTGAAGTTCTAGGCCACCAGCTGAAAATGTTTGTAGCTCTGTTTGAAATTGAGATTTTCGAAATCCGAAACTTGCTCAAAATCTCGCTGGAAATCCTATTACGCGTTATGTAGCTTATGGTCTAACTTTTTGGCTTTCTAGGCCACCATAAATATAAGGTTTTCATATTTTAAACTCTAGTTTTTCTCTATTTTACTGATTAGCAAACATTAGTAATCGTCGGTTTCGTGCTTGTTGACCTTCTTCTTCTTCTTCTTCTTGTTCCTGTATAAGGCCAGCCAAAAAATGACGCATTTTGACATTTTTAAGGAAAAGAGAGAGGTAGAAAAAGGATGCGTCATTTTGTGTTCCTCTGCTCCTCCTTTTCTGAAAAAGAGAGTGACACTGAATGTTATGATATATACAGTTTTTTTTGTCTTCCAGAAGTTTTGGGTTTCTCTCCAAATTCGATTTTTTGAATTTTCTCATTTTTTGTCGTTTAGAACTATTCGAAAACCTCTATTCTCTATTCCAAAATCAACGTTCAGTCTTAAAAATGCTGCCGCCACCTATCATTCAAACACCACCGGACTCCCCATCAGCATATTCTCCGCCACCATCGACGCCTTCTAGTCCTCCCCATCTGACAACCAACTCTCCTTTGGATCCGAACTCTCCAAACTTTTTGAATCTCCCGCGAAAACAAATTCGCTCGAAAAGCGTGCCACATGCAAGACAAGTACTTATGGATATGGTTGATAGTACCGAGCGAAATTTGGATGGACCATTTAGAAGTATCTTGTGGCAGAAATACGTTTTGGAGAGGCCCAAGGTACTTCAAAGGGGCCTGAGCCTAAAACTAGCGAAAATCGGCCTTTCAAAATTAATAAAATGACATAAACGCATTAAAATTGGCCTTTAAAACCAAAAAGATCGTCTAAAAAGCGAGGAAAACAGCTAGAAACTCAAAAAAAAACCCTAAATCTGTCATGGCCGAATACTGGGATTCCTAGGCCACTATCAGTTTTTCTAGGCCGCTCTATACAGACCAAACTACAGATTTCCAATGTTTTATATTTTGCTTCCAACGAAAATATCTAGAAAATTGTGTTTTGGGAAAGTTGGGAGCTTTTTGACACAAGAAGGAGAATATTCTCAATTTTTAAGTGGTGGCCTAGAAAACTAAAAAGCTAGGCCATGAGTGGGAAGAGCTTTTTCTGGGAGTTTATGAGCAGGTTTCAGATTTCCTAAAGCTCAATTCCAGCTATAGTTACACCCATTTTTAGTTGGTGACCTAGAAAACCAAATCATAGCAAAGTTAGGCCATTTGTTACATACGCCGAAAGATCGTTTTCTGGGGAGTTTTTAACAAGTTCCAGATTTCGAAAAACTCAATTTTGAATAAAGTTTCACCCATTTTTAGTTGGTGGCCTAGAATTCCAAAACTTTGGGTTTCTAGGCCACCAACTGAGAATGGCTATACCTTGTTTGGAAATCGATGTCTTCTGAATCTGATTAACAACTTCTGGGAAATGTTTTTTCGGGCCGAAAAAGACTTTCGGCTTTTGTAACCGATGGCCTAACTTTTTGAAAGATTGGTTTTCTAGGCCACCAACTGAAAATAGTCATAACTATGGCTGGAAATGAGTTTTTCGAAATCTGAAAGCTGATCAACAATTGTGGCCTAACTTTCTTGATTTCTAGGTCACTAAATAGGGGTTCTAAGTACAGACTACTGTAACTCATCTTCTAATATTCCAGGTCACCGAGCTCAAGTGCTCCGAGGTTCGATGGTTCTTCCAGGAACCCAAGCAGACGGTATGGACTCCATTCAATGGGAGGGACTCGATCATGCTGGAAATCAAGTATCGCAAGGAGAAGAGAATCGATCTAGACGAAGCGATTCAGACGATTTATGACGAGACGCTGGGACACTACAAAATGGATCATCCCGAAGGTTCTGAAGACAATTCCGAAGAGAAGCCGATGGTCGTTGTGCTCAATGGACAGTACAAAGTGAATAAGGAGAACTCCAGAATCGATCCGATCTACTGGAAGGAGGACTCGAAGGAGATCAGACGAGGCACGTGGTTCTCGATGGATTATCAGCCACTGGAGATGCCGCTGTCGGATTCGATAGAGAAGAATCATTTGCAATGCTTCAGAAATCAAATGATTCCCGAGGGAACGACTGTCTTCTCGAAGTCCGAAACCAGCAATAAGCCGAGTGAGTTTCATTAGTTTTTCTGCTGAAAAACTAGGTCAAAATCGACTAGAAATGATCTGAGATTCATTTAGATCAAAAATGAGAGATCTAGATCTTTTTACCATGGTGGACTAAAAAATCATTAGTTAGGCCACCATGGTAAAATGGCCTATATAACACCCCAGGTGAATATCAAGCTTTTTCTAGGCCATTTACCACGGTGGCCTAGAAAAATCATGTTGAGAAAGTTAGGCCACCATGTTGAAATGACCTAGAAATGACCTGATATTAACCTGGTGTGTTTTCTTGGCCATTCTATATGGTGGCCTAACTTTATCAAATTTAGTTTTCTAGGCCACCGTGTTAAAATGGCCTAGAAATCACTGGCCTATAAGTGAATGTTAGGCTATTTCTAGGCCATTTACCATAGAAAAATCATGTTGAGAAAGTTAGGCCACCATGTTGAAATGACCTAGAAATAGCCTCATTTGAAACTGGTGTGTTTTCTAAGCCATTTACCATGGTGGCCTAGAAAACTCAACTTGCAAAAGTTAGGCCATCATTTTAAAATGGCCTACAGAACACCCACAGGTGAATATCAGGCTATTTATAAGCCATTTAGGCCTAGAAAAAACATGTTGAGAAAGTTAGGCCACTATGGTTTTTTTTCAATTTTCCAACGTTCCTTTTCTTGCAGTTCTCGCCGAGCTCCACGTTGACGGCTACGATGTTCGATGGAATTCGGTCATCGACATCTCACTCCATCAGAAGGGAAACGCCATCCTCCGCTACCTTTGGGCCAAAACGACACCACTCCGCCGAGGATATGAGAGAGAAGCCGACTGGAACGATGCGTCGGCTGAGATTTCACACTTGATTCTCGTAGTCCACGGCATTGGACAGAAAGGCTACGAGAATCTGATTGCTACGAACGCGAATCAGTGAGTTTTTGTTTATACTGAAAATATCCAAAATAAGCTTGAAATGGCCTAAGAAATGACCTAGAACGGACCAAAATTGAGCCTTTCAAAACGGTTTGTCTGTTTGTCCGGATGTCCAGATTTTGGAGAGGCCTTTTGAAGTCTATTTTAGGCCAATTTAGTCTTGTTTTAGGCTAGTAAAACGCTTTCAATAGGCCTTTTTAGCCGAAAATTGTCTATAACTTCCTATTTTTCTTCCAGAGTCCGTGACGGCGTCGTCAACGCCATGGAGAAGTGCTATCCAGACGAGAAGTCGCGGCCGATGTTCCTGCCGGTCGAGTGGCGATCCTCGTTGGTGCTTGATGGAGGACTCACCGACAACATCACGATTCCGAAGATGAGCAGTATGAGAGCGTCGTTGAATTCGACAGCAATGGACGTGATGTACTATCAAAGTCCACTTTTCAGAACTGAGGTGAGCAATCTGAAAAATGCCGAAAAATGAGATGAAATGGACCACTTTAAAGCGCATGGCCTAGAAATTTGGATTTCTAGGCCATCAATGGAAATTTGGTCTAATTGAGCTCAAGTTGAATGAACTTCCTGGCTCGAAAATAATCAAATCAAATTCCCTATATTTTACCAGATAGTCCGTGGTGTTGTCGCTCAGCTCAACCGCACCTACAAGCTCTTCAAGGCCAACAACCCTCAATTCAACGGCCACGTCCACATCTTTGGGCACTCTCTCGGGTCGGTGATCTGCTACGACGTGCTCACCCAATACTCTCCGCTCATGCTTTATGATAAGTATGTGACAAAGTCGATCGACGAATATTTAGAGAAGAATGATTCGGAGAACACGAAGGAAGCGAGAAAGGCGATGGAGGCGATGAAATTGGCCAGGGAGCAGTTGAGGTGAGGGCTTTGCTCAGTCCTGAGAGTCATAAAACAGGTGTCACCATTCAAAACGGTCCATTTTTAACCAAGTTACACGAATTTGTGATTGGTGGCCTAGAAATTCGGATTTCTAGGCCGCCGATCTCAAAATTGATGTATCTTGCTTAAAAATCGAGTTTTTTGAAATTTAAAGCTTGATTAAAGCTTTAAAAAGGTATCCTCTACACTTGAACAATTCATGACCTAGTATCTTCCACATTTGAGTTTTCTAGGCCACAAAATGTGGTTTTTCTAGGCCATCTAGATACAAATGAGTGTAACTATGCTCGAAATAGACGAATTTGAGATCTGAAAATTGTTTGAAGCTTTCTTAGAAATAGTTCTCTATTTCCATGTAGTTCGTGGCCTAGTTTTTTCGAAGTTTGAGTTTTTAGGCCATCCTCTAAAAGTGATTATAACTTGGCTAAATATTTAGAAATCCGAAAGCTGGCCGAAGATTTTTTTCGGAGTTCTAGGTCACCGAACTCAAAATCTCATTCTTTCAGGGAGCACATGGACGGAGGCATTCACAGGCTGTTGGTGACGAACGACGAGCAATTGAACTTCAAGGTGAAGTATCTGTTCGCCGTCGGCAGTCCTCTCGGTGTGTTCCTGACGATGCGAGGAGGAGAGTCGGCTGATTTGCTCTCAAAAGCAACGAATGTCGAGAGGATATTCAATATTTTCCACCCTTACGATCCGGTCGCCTATCGCTTGGAACCATTCTTCACGGCCGAGTATAAGCATATTCGTCCGATAAAGGTGGGACGTAGCCTAGAATAATAGATTCTTGGATTTCTAGGCCACCTAACAAAAAAACCTCTTCCATGCTTTCAGCTCTTCTCCCAAGCCGACCTTCGTGCTCGTGCTTCGTACGCCGATCTCCCACTGGACGTGTACAAGCACTATTTGAAGAAGCTGAAAAATCAGAAGAAGGCAAAAAATGGGAAAGACGACAAAGCGGCTGACGCGAAGTCCGGCGGCGACGATGAAATCGACGAGGAAGACGAGTGTGATTCCGATGAGGACGCTCGTTCCGGATGCTCATCGCCTCGATCCATGACTCCCCCCCCTCCACCGTGTGATGTGGCCGCAGCGAACAAGGAGCCGAAGGCGGTCGTCAAGAAGGGATGGTTCTCGTTTGGGTCGTCGAACAACAATCCGAAGAAGACGCAGAGTTCGGCCAGCTTGCAATCTCAGGTGAGAAGATAGCCTAGAAATCCACATCAGTGGCCTAGAAATCTCTTGCAAACTTGAAACGGTCCACTTTGAGCCAGATGGCCTAGAAATTTCAATTTCTAAAATAATTGAAATTTCTAGACCACCAAATCATGCGCTTATTGGGGTTACTAGGCTCCAGATTAGTGATTTCGAGTTCTAAAACATTCCTATGACTCGAGATCCACTATTCTGAATACCTAGGCCACACGATTCGGTTTTCTAGGCCACCAAACTCAACCAGCTCAATTTTCAGGTGCAAGCCACGTCAACCGAACACATTGAAGTTGGAAAGGAGGCAGAGGCCGAGCTACCACTCGCGGAGAGGATCCTTGGAAGTGGCGTCCGTGTTCCCCACAGAATTGATTTTCAGTTGCAGGTAAGGATGACCTAACTTTTCGGATTTCTAGACCACCAACTAAAAATTGGTCTAACTACGATCAAACGGAATGTTCTTGAAGGTGGACTACTGTAATCGAACTCTCGAGAACTAATGACCTTATTCCTGACACAGCGTGGCCTAGAAACCCAAAATTTGGATTTATAGGCCATCATTTAAAAATCGTTCTAATTTCGTTGAATCTTAGTGATTTTGAATGCGGATTACTGTAATCGAACTTTCCTGAACGCCCAAAATTAACTAAAGATTTTGTTTATGACACAACATGGCCTAAGAACCGAAAACCGGAAATTTGGATTTCTAGGCCACCATCAGTCTAAAAACCTTTTGATTTATCCCAAAATCAATTTTCAGCCCGCCCTCACCGAGAAGTCGTACTGGTCCGTGCTCAAATCCCATTTCGCCTACTGGACAAACGCCGACATGGCTCTGTTCCTTGCAAACGTGCTCTATTGCAAACCCGCCAAACCCGAAGAAGCCAAACCGACATGGGCCTAATTTGAATCGCATTTCTTTTTCTTTCCCGCCAAAACGTTTGAATTATATCGCCCCGCCCCCTCTTCTTGTCTGAAAATAGGCAATCACTTCATGTTTTATCTAATTTTCTCCCTTTTCCGACGATTAGTATTATTTTCCATCTCTATCTCGTTACTCGCTTTTCTGTCGCTTTTTTAATGGTATTTTTGAATTTCCCGCGCTGCGTTTGGTCTGTAGAAAATGCGCTCCACGGATAACATTTATCAATAGAGCGCACTTTCAATTTATTCGAATATTTTCCTTTTTGTATAATATTTATAGCATTTTTCTCCTTTCCTTCTGTGATTGTACACACCCGCAGTCTCTATCATTCACCCCCCCCCCCCCCATTCTTTTCCAGTCGAATATTCATTTTCGAAAATTCGAATTTTCAAAAAATTTTCGAAAAAAGTAATTCCGGTGTGAACCTTCCCCCAAAAACTGTCGATTTTAATTCCGGTTTTCCCCGTTTTTCAAATGTAATGTAACTATATAAATCGCATCCCCCAACCCCCATCCCTGTCCTTTGTATTAGTGAAATGAAGAAATACATTTTCGGTTACAGTAGTTCTTGCAGTCTGAGGAATTTTCAGAATTTCAGGTTTTTCAGATTTTCAGATTCCTTCGTTTGGATTTAGCAATTTTCGAAACTTCTCAAAAATTTGCATTTTGAAATTTCAACAAGAAATTTCTGAATTTTCGAATTTTCTCAAAAATTCGGAAAGTTTTGATTTTCCTTTGAAAAAAATTGATTGCAGTAATCTGTAATTTTCTGAATTTTTGAAAATTCGAGATTTTTTGAATTTTTTGAACAACCTAAAAAATAATTTGCAAACATTTCTGAATATTTGAATTTTCAGAGATTTTGAAATTTTGGAAATTAAATTTCTATATTTTCAGAATTTCAGATTTTCCGGGAATTTTGTATTTTCTTAGTTTTCTTGGAATTTTCTAAAATTCCAGATTTTCGGGTATTTCTGGAGTTTCAAACTTTTCATTTTGCTGGAATTCAAGAATTTTCGAATTTCAGAAGTTCTAAATTTCTGGATTTCAGCACCTTTGGATTTCGGAACTTTTAATTTCCAAAAATTTATAGTTTTCAGTTTTTCGAATTTTTGAAAATTCCGAATTTCTGACTTGTTTTAGAATCTCAGAAATTGAATTTCTATTTCGAATTTTTCAAATTTTTGAATTTCCTTAGAATTAGGATTTTCTAATTTTTCAGAACTTTAGAGTTTCAGAGTTTCTCGAATTCCCAACTTTCAAAACTTTATGGTATTTCCAATTTTGTGAATATTTAGAACATTTTTGGTTTTTGAATATTTTTTGAATTTTCGAAACTTTCTAAATTTCGAACTTTTTCTGATTCCCGGAAATGAAATTTCCGGAACTTCTGATTTTCAGAATTTTTTTGAATTACCCAAATTTCTGAATTTCCTCAAATGTTCCTGTTAAAATATATTGTTTTGACAAAAGATAGGAAAACGTTTTCAAGCATTCAACAATATGTATAAGTCGGGCGGAACAGAAAAAGCTGTCGAGTCGAGTGTTTGTCTGTACAGTACCCACCCTTCACATGCTTATATAGGTAATCGCGCACTCAAAAAGGAAGAAAACTTTGGGACGTGCTCACGGAGCAAAAGAGACTTTTGGGACGGTCGTGGCGGCGGCTTGTGTTTGATCTATTTCCCGTTGACAGAAAGAGAAAATAAAAACAAAAGTGTGTATGTCTGTTTCAACTCTTTACAAGTAAAACCTGTAATAGAAGGGCTCAACTTTGAGCTTACTTATCTCATTTCCTGTAAGGGATATCAATGAGTGGTCCACTGATAAAGTATTGCTGATATTATGATGCACAATTTATCAGTTGACAAGGTTTTTCATATCTTTCACAGGAACCGGGATAAATCAGCTCAAAGTTTGAAGTTTGAAGCCCTTCTATTACAGGTTTCACGGTATTTAGGATCTGGAGTACGCCATTTGCCTTTAAGGTTTGGCCGGCGACCTGAAAGGTGTGTTGAAATAAGGCAATGGTGGCCATGGCCTAGAAAACTCTAGCGTCCCCCAGCAATTCACTTTTTTTTGTCCGTACACCCTCCTATTAGAATGACCCCCTAGCTTTTAACTTTGAGCCAATTTATCTCGATTCCTGTCAAAGATACTAAAAAGTGACCAATTAACAAAATGTTTATCATATTATCAGAAACGTTTTATCAGTTGATTACTTTTTGATATCTCTTACAGGAACAGAGATAAATCCCCGCAAAAATTGATTCTATGAATCACTGTGAGAGATATCAAGAAGAGGCCAACTAAAAAAAATGTTTATCATGTTATCAGTAGCATTTTACTAGTAGACCACTCTTTGATAACTCTTACAGGAAACGAGATAAATTGGGTCCAAGTGGACACTTACAGGGGGCATTCTATTAGAGGTTTACGGTAGGCACGAACTTCTCGTACTTTCGGAATTGGAAATTCTGAATTTCAAAACTCAAAAAAAAAACCATTCTTTATTACTTCTCTCTTTCCCGTTTCCTTGTCCATTTCTGACTCATAAGCCCTTTTAGGTCAAAAAAGCCATTTTCATTTTCTTTCCCCTTTTCTTTTTTTATTCTGTTTGATCCTTTAAACCACATGATCCACTTTCCATTAGTCCAAAATTTCGAATTTCAAATTTCTGAATTTCTGGAAATTTTTACTTTTAGAGTATTTGAATTTTAGAATTTTAGAATCTTTTTCTGCAGAACTACAGAATTTCAGGATTTTCGAGATTCTGAGATTCTGAAATTCTTGGAATTTCTGAATTCCAGAAATTCAAAACTATGTTTTTTTCCATTTTCTTCCAGGAAGTCCAACCAGTGAATTTCCGTTTCCGTTTTCCGCGGAAAAAATTTCCCTTTCCGTTTCCGTATATCGCAAAAATGCGTTTCCTCCCATCACTGAGTCCAACTATGAAAAATTCAAAAGTCCCAATTTATGTCCCCAATAAGAAGATCTAAGAAATTCTTGAGAATTTCAAATATTCCTTCTTTCAATTAAAACCCATCGAGAAGACACGCAAACGTCTAAATTTTATGACCCCAAAATGTCTTTTCCTGCTCTCACATATGTTACAAGTTGTCTACTGGGGTACTGCTCCAGATGGTCCCCCTTCTTTCCCCTATCGTAAACGATCGTAAACCCGGCTGATGACGTGGCAATATTGTTTCTTAATTTACAATTTTGTTGGCTCCTGTCCTATGTTTGTATTGAGGTTATGTAGTATTGTGTGCGCCAGTTTACCACACGATTTCTTGCTTTTTTTTGGTTTTTGGAGAAAATGTCAAAAACACATTTTTGGATGATTTGGTTGATATAGTTTAACCTTATATTTTTTGATTTGACCGTTTTTTGGAACTTAAAATTTTTGGCTTTTGAACCTTTTTTCGACTACTGAAATAGGGTTGGCTAGCTTCCTTATCTCAGTTCCTATAAGCGTTATCAAAAATTTGTCAACTGATAAATTGTTTTTGATAATATTATAAAAATTTTATCAGTGTACAAAGTTTTGCTACCTGTTGTAGGAACCGAGATAAATCGGGCCAAAGTAGAGGCTATGAGAAGCATACGATCATATACTCCTGCTTTGAGCTAGATTATCTTACTTCTTGTGAAAGAAATCAAAAAGTGGCCAACTGATAAAATATTGGTGATATTATGACAAACATTTTATCCGTTGACAACATTTTGATACCTTTTTCACAAACCGAGCAAACTCAAACATTTTGAATTCATTTTTTGATTTGAGCGAAATTCATTTTTGGATCTTTGTTTACAGAATTCCATTTGAAAATTGCAAAAATAAGTTGTTTCCGCTTTTTTGTCAGTTTTTTCAGAAAACTGAGCAAAGCATACTGTAGAAAATGAAAAAAAATTGTAATTGGATTTTTGGAGACAACAAAAATAAATCAAGAATTTTTGTTGAAATAGAAAATTGCGGGTTTTTTTTTGGTTCCCACCACAAACAATTTTAGATTTTGAACAACATTTTTTTGAAATTTTTTGATGGGATTTTTCAATTCAGCAAACTTTGAAAAACATTTTTTGTGATTTTCCAGCCAACATGCTTATTGTGCTGCTCAATTTTCTGCGGTAGAAATTTGAAAATTCAAAAATTCGAAAAGTCAGAAACTCAGAAATTCTAGGGAATTCCAGAAAATTTTGAAAGAAGATTCTGGAAAACCATGAAAAATTCAGAAATCCAGAAATTCATGAAATTCTGAATATCAGAAAAAAAATCAAAACTTCCAAAAACCCAAAGTTACAAAAATCCCCGAATCCTTGCTAATTCAAATGTTCAGAAATTCGAAAAATCCGGTTTTTGAAACTTTCAAAAAACTTCAGGAATGAGTTTCCAAGAATCTCAAAGCTCCAGAAATTTCAGAAAAAATGATTCCCAGAACCCTGAATTTTCAAAATTTTCTGAATTTCTTGCATGTTTAAAATTTCGGAAATTCATGGATTCTAGAATCTTCTGAAAATCCCGATTCCTTCTTTTTCCTTCTCACCCCTGCTTTCTCCCCTATTCTCATTTCCTAAACAATCAGGTAGACAGCCGGGTGGTCACTACTACCTTCTAATCCTTTTCCAAGTAAACCATGCATATTTAGTGTGTCACTGAATAATCTCCTCTTCATTGCCCCCCACTAAAAACTAGCAGCCCGGTTACAAATTGGCGCAAAATCATCTGTGCGACGGGCTATTATGCGATTAGGGACCACAGAGGGTCACATAATCATTGTTTTAGGAGGGGGCTAATTAGGAATGACCCAGAGACTCGGATTACACATGTTTCCCAATGTCCAGATGTCCAGATTTCCAGAAATTTCGGCTGCGTGTTTTTTTTCCAAAAAAATACGATAATTCCGAAATTCTGGATGTATTTCGAAACTCGAAACGTCAGAAAATTCCTTAAAATTTTGAAAATTTTGAAAACCGGATTTTATGAAATACTAAAAAATCTGAAAATTTGGAAAACGCAAAAAATTCAGAAAGTTTCTAGGAATTTGAAAAATGTTGAAAATTCTTATAATTCGAAAGTTTTTGAAAATCCGACATTTTTTAAAATATCCGAAATTCCAGAAATTTGTTATTTCGCAAAATCCCGAGAGTTCGGAAAATTTCGAACTTTCGATAAACTCTGAAAATGAACATATTATTGGGTTACGGTAGTTTTCGCTGAGAGACAGTCCTGGGTTTCCAGCTTCATATTTCAAGCAAATGCGCTCCCTTGAACAAAAAGTTTACAGTTTGAATTCCCGCTTTTTCAATTTAGGGTTGGCCCACATGAAGAGCTATTTAATACTTTTTATTTTTACTAGTTCAGCACACATCCGCTGTTAAATTTTTATATCACCCTAAAGGTGTAAATCTCTCTGACCCTCCGGAAGGGAGGGATATTCAAAGTTATGGGAAGATGCTCGTTAAACATTCCGGTGCACCAGAGGGAGCAGTTAAGAGACATATGGCCTACATAACTTTTTACTTTAGAGGAAGACGTATGTTACGTTATGGGAGGTTATGAACATTAACATACATTAACAAGGAAGAGAGAGAGAGAGAGAGAGAGAGAGAGAATACGTTTTTTTAGGATTGCAACCTATTTGAAAAGAGTTTCCGTTTGTTTAGAGAAGCTGGCAATTTTTTGGACCTTTTTTGGACCGAAAAAATGAGACAATTGGATTTGTGACCCAAAACTTAGATTCTGCTGGCTAAATGAACCGAGCCATTGGAAAATGTAATTTTTCCGGTTTTTCGTAATTGTGGAATTTTCACTACAAAGTTGATATTTTGGCATTTTTTCCAATTTGTTTTTTCGCAATTATCTTCATATTTTTGGTGTAATTTTCAGTGTCTTTTTCCTCTTGAAAGCGATACTTGAAAACTTTTTTCCCCTTTTCAACTCCAAAAATTTCTCAATTCTGAAGCACCAGTTGTCTTACATTTTTTTCCGCCCCCTCCTCTTCAAAAAGAGTCCATAACCCATAAAAATTTGTCTTCGCCTACTGCTTATCCAACTTTTTAACAAGCCAATTTCCCCGGGTTCTCTTCGTGTTCTTTTGTTGGGGAATTTTGGGAAAAAGTTTGTACTTTTTTTCTCGAAACTTTCACCCTTCCCACCAATTTTTCTTCAATTTCAACACTGAATTCAGAAGCAGTAGTAGTTGTAATCATTGAATCGGTCTCCAGGGAATTTGGTGCATTTTCAGGAATTGGGGCATTTTTCCAGAGGACTTAACTTTCCTAAAATTTGTAGTCCTAGGTCATCATTCTAATCCAAAATGAAAGGAAGACATTGAATTCAGTTTTGGTTTTCCTTTTCAAGTTGAACCTGACCTAATTCGAAAATTGGTGCAAGGAAAAGAACGGGAAAATTTCGAAATTCTGTCAAAGAAAATCCTTCTTGAATGAACCGGAAACTTTCAGTTCTGTTTTGGTCTTTTGCGGAGGCAAAAAAAAACTGCTTTACCCCATTTGAAGCACTGAGTCTCTCAATTCCTCACACTCTCTCATTTTTCGAGTTTTCATTTGAAAAATAAACAATTTCAGAATTTCGAAAATCCTCTCTAGAAAACCAATCCATAAAACTCTAAAAATCCAAAAAGTTGACTATTCAAAAATTTCGAAGGATTTTGTGGTTCTTGAATTTTTCAAAAATACATATTGGAAAATTTGGACTTTTCAAGTGAAAGTTCGAAAATTCGAAAAAATCCGAAAATGTCCTTCTCTTGAAACTTCTAGAACTGAATATTTCGAAAAATCTTAAAAATCCCGAAAACCCAGAAAGTCCCAAAAATCTTAAAAATCCAAAAAATTCGGAAAATCACAAAAATCCAAAATACTCTGAAAATCTTAAAAATAGTAGAAAGATCAAATTCTGAAAACCCCTAAAAATTAAAAAAAATATTTTTAATTCCAAAAAGTTTGAAAACCTTGGAAAAAATCCCAACATTCTCAATTATCCTATAAATCTAATAATCCCAAAAATACCAAAAATTCTAGAAATGCCGAAATCACAAAAGGCCCAAAAACTTCAAAAATCCCAGAAACTTTAAAACCCAAAAATCTGGGTATCCTGGAAACTTTGAAATTCCAAAAATCTAAAAAAAATCCTGAAAATCCATGAAGTCTCAAAAACAGTAGAATTCGAAAAAACCCCAAAAACCCTTAAATTCTGAAAATCGCAGAAATTTTGAAAATTCTGAAGCCCTAAAATTTCTAACGATCCCAAAAAAAACCGAAAATCCTGAAATCATAAAAATCCCAAAAAAACCTAAAACTATCGAAAATCCCTAATGTCTCGAAACTACGGAAAATCATGGAAATCCAAAAATTTCCAAAACCCGAAAATTCTAGAAAACTCTAAAAATCCCAAAAATGGTTTTTACAAAGATTTTAAAGAGGTTTTGAAGTTTTAAAGTCCGAACCCTTCGCAAAACAAAAATCCTTCTAATTACCGTTCCCAGACGTCTTCCCCAAAGGGGGTCTTCTCCCCTTTTCATGGAAAACCGATTCGTTTTGTGTTCTCTCTGTTTGATTAGGCAATACTCGAGGCATCTAAACAAAAAGTGGGATAGGGGGGGGGGGGGGTCAAAAAGAGCAGCCGACTCCTATTATTTTCTCTTTTTCTCTTTTTCTCTGTGAGAGAGAGGGACAACAATAACAAAAAGAAGAAGAAGAAGAAGAGAACAATAAATTCATGATATCCGCTTGTATCCGGAAAGAACAAGGCCTACTACTGGGGAGAAAGAGTCTCTTGTTGGAAACAATGAGAAGCTAAGAATGCTTCCCTTCGAAAACATCATTATTTCTTGCTAAATTTGTTGTTTTTTTACAAGAATTTAGTGGCCAAGGAGCTTTCAAACGGTCCAGAAGCTTCTAAAAATGCATATGAAACTTTCAAATTATCTCGTAAGTTCAAGGTGGTCTAGGATCTTCCAAGTGGCCTAAGAGTCTCTAGGCCGCTCTAGCAATTAGTCTTCTCTCGATTCCCACCTTCTCCATCATCATTTCTTCAGAAGAAACCCTTTTCCTAATCTACCCATCTCACCTACACCACTAACCAAACAACAGTATCGGTGTCTTTTCTTCTCTTCCAAGAACATAGACGGTCCCATGGGAACGAAGAGCAATTAGCACACCCTTGGACCGTGGTCTCTTCTCAGTGTCCATGAAAATTGGGTGCGAACATGTCATTATTTTGAACATTTTTGACCTCATACTTGTCAGAATTTACACCCTCTCGGCTATCACCTTGATAGGTGAGGAGCGTAGGATTTATGAACTTTTTTATAGTTTCATCTAGTTTTTGATGTTAAAAATGGTTCTTTAGTTTTGAACCGATTTATCATCCGCGTTGCTAGCAGCTGAGCTAAGCCGTCGCAAGAGTAAGCTGACTTAGACTTCAAGCTCAATTATCTCAGTTCCTAGAAGAGATATCAAATGTTTGCCAACTGATAAAATGTTGGTGAGATTATGATAAACATTTCATCAGTTAACAAATTTTCGCTATCTTTCATAGAAATCGAGATAAATTGGGTCAAAGTTAAGCTTCATGATTTCACTCATAACTCGCTTCAAAACCAACATTTCTGACTGGTTTTAAAAGTAAAGCTCTATAGCACAAAATAAAATTTAACTAATTTTTAAAATCCTGCTTATTAAAAACAGTTCAAAAATTTTCTGGCTCTCAGAATTTCCAAAAAATTTTAAATTTCAGATTTTTCGAATTTTCGAACATTCTGAATTTTCTCAGTTTTCCGAAAATTTTTTTGAGTCTCAGAATTTTTAAAATTTTTGATTTTTTTTATTTTCTGGAATTTTATATAAAATTGGAACTTTTTGGAATTTTTAAACTTCTTATACCGTAAAAGCCGTAATTGCCCCTTTTAATTTAAACTGATAAAACACTTCTGATTGTATGATAAACAAATTATCAGTTGACAACTTTTTGATATCATTAACAGGAACGGAGATAAACCGTCTCAAAGTGAAAAGTTAGAGAGCCCTTCTATTACAGATTTTGATTTTCTGAAACTTCTAATCTTTTGGTTTTCCTGCAATTCAAAAATATACGAATTTACTGGAATTCTAAAATTTCGGAGCTTTAAAATCTTTAACTTCTGAAAATGAAACTTCCAGGATGCCTCTACCTTTCTGGACTCCAAAAGTGACCTGATTTGAGTTCAAAGTGATTCTTCAAAAATTAAAAAAAAACCCTTCAACTGATTATTAATGACTTCTTCCCTCCCGTAAAGATACGGTTATTAGCATTTAGCACTCAGGTGACGATAAGTCTCTAGACTTCCCGGAGAACCTGTTGTCTTAACCCACCCCTCTCATTCATTCTACCTACTCTATTGGAAAAAAAAGAGTCTTCTTCTTTTTCTCGTTTTCCTTCGATTCGATTCTTTTGTTTGTGTTTCATTAGACATTCACTTTGTTTCTAGAAATTTCAATCCTCCTTTTTTTTTAGAAGAATCTTCATCAACCTTTCATCAACTTTAGAAATCCAGGAATCTCCAGCCCTCGAAAAAATCATTTCCATTCTTCTTCCGAGATGTTTAATAGGGTCTCTAATTAGTCTCTCTAATCAAACTGTTAAATACGTTCTCTATTTGATCAAAAGGAACCTATATGGGTAATAAATTATAGAACATTCCCGACCATAAAAATCGTCGGACCCCCAACTTCAAAAGCCCTTTTCCCGTCGTCCCGTAAAGCACACAAACTTATCAACATAACATTTTTGGCTGATGATATAATATAATCATATATAGTGGTTGTTGGATGGTCATGCATCCCCCCCCCCCCCCCTTATTCATATGTATATATGGTAGATACGTGGAACTGGTCACTTTTTTGTTGTATAGGTTTTCACACACTCGATAGCAATGGTCTCGAACACTAGAAAAAAACAGTTTGTGTGTTTTCAAGTGTACAAGTTTTGTTGTTTTTGTTGGCCGGGAATTTTTTGCAAATTGGGTTTTTTTGGCCAGCACTAGAAGACTAGGAAAACTGTCTTCAAACTAATTCTACAGGCTGATACACTGAAGAATGCTTCCCTTCCTTAACTATAAACTTTGAGCTGATTTATCTCGATTCCTATAAAAGATATCAAAAAGTAGTCAACTAAAAAAATGTTGGTGATATTATGATAAACATTTTATCAGTTGTTTACTTTTTGATATCTTTTACAGGGACCGAGATATATGGGCTCAAAGTTAACGGATTGGGGGAAATTCTATTAGAGTGTTTACGGTAGATCAATTTTTGAATTTTCAGTTTAAATTTAACATCATTTTATAGAGCTTCTTGATTTCTACATTTTTCATTTTGATCTGGCTGGAAATTTTGAATTTCAAGCCAGTTATGGGGTATTTTGCGATCGACCTTTTTTTCGATTTCAGAATTTTTAAAAACCAAAAAATCCCATGAATCGCAATTTAAAGAAACCCTGAAGTTTAAAGAACTCAAAAATTCAAGAATCTGAAAAATCTTAAAAATTCTAGAACTCCCAAAATCCAAAAAAATATATATAAATCTTAATTTTGGAGATTTCGATTTTTTTAAATCTTAATTTCAGTACTTTTGAAATTTTTTCAGGATTTTCAGGTTTTTGAGGTTTTTTTTTGGAATTTCGAATTCTCTCGGAATGTTTGAATTTTGGATATTCTGATTCTCAGACCTTTCCCATTTTCCAGACCCCCAAAACCTGAAATTTTAAAATTCAAAAAATCAAGGTCTCAATTTGTCCCAATATGTCCAAGTTTGTTCTTCTAATGACACCATATGAGTACGGTCATCATATAACTAGTACCCTTCTCCTAGTAAGTCGATCGCAAATCAATCGAATCACCCCCTCGGAATTACGTAACTTTTGGGCACACTTGTAGGTCTTCTCGGATCGTTCACCTCCTCCGAATTCATCAGGAGAGGAAAATTACGACCCGTCTTCTTCTTCTTCTCAGTGGGAGGTGATCGTAAATCTGTTGTTATCCCCACCACCGTCGCGGTTATCACTATAAATCAAGTGTTGGCGTAACCCATTCGTGTTTTTGGAATTTGGTAGATGAGATAACAGGGACCACCAAATGAGGTGGGAATGTTGTTGCTCTAAGATTGAGACTCGTGATTCTGGTAGAGAGATTTTTTGGAGATATAGGATGTAGGCATAGTTAGGGGACTCGGTGGGAGGTAGGAATGTTTTTTGAGGTCTTTAGAAGATAAGGATGTATCAGTCGTCTTCGGCAAGTTTGCTCTGTGGAGAATCATGGGGTTCGGCTACGGTAGAGGTGGACAGATCTGAATCTAATAGTAAAAAGACCGACAGCGCAGCTCGGCTTATAGGATTCTGAGATACCGAGATTCTGAGATTCCGAGATTCCGGGATTCTGAAATTCTGAGATTTTGAAATTCTGAGATTCTGAGATTCTGAGATTCTGAAATTCTGAGATTCTGAGATTCTGGGATTCTGAGATTCTGGAATTCTGAGATTCTGAGATTCTGGGATTCTGAGATTCTGAGATTTTGAAATTCTGAGATTCTGAGTTTCTGGGATTCTGAGATTCTGAGATTCTGAGATTCTGAGATTCTTAGATTCCAAGATTCTGAGATTCTGAGATTCTGAGAATTTGCAATTCTGAGAATCTGAGATTCAGAGATTCTCAGATTCTCAGATTCTGAGATTCTGAGAATCTGAGATTCTGAGGTTCTGAGATTCTGAGATTCTGAGATTCTGAGATTCTGAGATTGCGAGATTCTAAGATTCTGAGATTCTTGGTATTTGGGATTTCTAGGATTTAAAATTTTTTTAATTCTAAGGTTTTAAGGACTTCTAGGCTTTCAAAGATTCTTGGAATTATTTGACTTTTTGGGATTTTTTACTTTTTAAGATGTTTAGACGATTTGAGATTTTGGTATTTTTAGGATTTTTTAAATACTTAAGGATTTTCAGGATTTTTGAGATTTTAAAGATTGTCAGGGCTATTAGAATCCTGTGGGCTTTCTGATTCCCTTTATTTGCATTCATAATTCAAAAAAGTTTCCAAACACGATTCTTCCTCCCCCTTCTCCGCTAAATGGACAGTTCGAATGTTCCGCAATGCCTAATAATCAAATCATCCCTTCTAAAAGTGACTTCTTCTGGATTTAATACCTTCTAAGTGGATTCAATTGAACAGTTCGGGGCATATGTTTTCCTTCTTCTTCTTCTCCGAAAGTGGGCGGAGCTTCTTTTCTTCTCCTTAGACTCCCCTCTCTCTGTGGAGACAGAGACCACCCCGCCCCCTTTTTCCGACCCTCCCTATCTCTCTTTTCTCTCTTGCCCATGGTTTCTGGGCTGTCCGGTTCTGACCGGAGGACTTGTGTAGTGAGCATGAATTGATGATGAGAGCTTTCCTTTTGCACTCTATTCCTCTTTTTTGAAAATTTTACATTTTGGAATTTCGGGATATTTTTGAAGTCATATTCTTTCAGAAATTTTTTCCCATTTTTTTCCGGATTTTAAAAATTCCATTTTTGTAATTTTTTTTGGCATTTTTTCTCTGCCTTTACTCTTTTTTTTTCCGGATTTTTTTATTTTCTGACTGTACGGTGTCATATATCAAAAAACTAGACTTTTGAAAATTTTCATGTCTGGCCTCCTTTAACGTTTTTTTTTGCCGAGTTTTTCAAATTTTTCGGGTCCCGCAACGATTACAGTAAAAACTTTTTCTCGGCGAAAAAATCGGTTGTTTTGTTTGTTTAGTGATTTTTGTCATTTTTGTCGAATTTCGAAGATTAACAAAACTTTTCCGACTTTTTAAGCTAAATTTCAGCATTTTCAGTTATTTTTATCGTATTTTACTCTTTTTTTTTCGTTGAAATTCAGCATTTTCGGGTTTCGCGACGATTACAGTAATAACTCATTCGCTTACAGTAATCTCTTTGAAAAGAAAGATTTTTTTGAGTTTTTCAACTATTTTCATCAATTTTTCGACGAATTTAATAAATTTTTCGGCGATTTTAACGAATTTATCCATTATTTTATTGATATTCTTTTGATTCTAACGAACATTGTGTTGTTTTCATCAACACAATTTCAGCCAATTTCCCAGTTTTTTCAAATCGATTTTTCTCATTTTTCGCAATTTCTTAGCCATTTTCCTCTGAAATTCCCTTAATTTTTTCCTTTTTTCTTCGATCTTCCCGTTTTTTCTCCGCCGCTGTTCATCAAATTTCAGTTTTTTTTTTCAAATTTCAATTTTTTCAGATCGAAAGCGAACCCATTCTCATTCTCCATTCTAAACCCCTGTCAAATGCATCAAACGCACTAATACCCCCTCTACTCACTGCTCAGAAAAAAACCCATTTTTCGAACAAAAATGCGTTTATACAATTCGCGGATTCTGAATCCGTTCTACTCGATATTTCTGCTACAATTATTCGTTATTGAATTTGTGAATTCACATCAAGGTAAGGAAAATTTTCATTAATTCATACTGCTCTCCACTGTGCACTGTATAAGAACCGCCCGGAGACCGAAACAAGACAGTGTGTCGTGTATGTGTGTGAATAGATTAACACTTGGTTACTCTCCTCCATCCTATTGTACCTACACACCTAACCCATAGTTAAGAAGAAAGGAGGAAAACACGAAGCCAAGCTCTACTAGTATGTCCTTGGCGTTCAAAAAAACCGGTAGCTGTTTTGCCTACTGTATTAGGTAGTTTCATTCTCTCTATCATCTGTGTAGCGGGGTAGGAATGGTTCAAATTGCGTTTTATTTATTGGCTTCAATTACTATGATGAAGACAGCAGGAGGGAGGCGAAACAGCACCAGATGATGTGACTTGGTGGCGCCAACGATTTTGGCGCCTTTATGGTTTATAGAGGGGGACGAAATGGGAGCTTAATTATGACCTACTAGATTTTGTAACCGTAGAAAAAACCGATTTTATTGAGGTAACTGGGGAGCTAAGAACCTATGTTAGTTTTTGGGAAAATCCATGTGATTTTGTTTCCATTAAAAAGCTCGAATTTTCAGCTTTCTAATCATCCCAATTTTATCGATTATTGAGAATTTTTGATGTCGTTTTGAAGCTCGAAATCTCAGCTTTTACTTGAGGTAATCGGCATTCTCCTAGCATCAAAATTGAGCGAGATACAGCAAAATTCGTATTTCTCTCTTCTCGACGATTTAAGTACCAATAGAAAGCCCAAATTTTCATCGTTCTGAATATCCCAATTTCATCGATTTTTGACAAATCCAAAAGCCAGAAAACCCAGCATTTTCAGGGCCATTTTGAAGCTTAGAATCTCACCATTCCATCGGTGTAATCGGCATAGTTCTAGCATCAAAATTGAGCGAGATACAACAAAATCCGTTTTTCTTACTTCTCGACTATTTGGGTACCAATAGAAAGCCCAAAATTTCATCTTTCTAAATATCCCAATTAATCGATTTTTGGCCTTTTTTGGTAACATTTTGAAGCCCAGTATCTCAGACTTCCATTGGTGTTTTCGGCATTTCTCTAGTTTTGAATCTGAGTCTGTAATTCCAGCTTTTCGCACAATTTCATAGGCGTATCGACCTAAACTAGTTTCGAGCCACTTTCACGTTTTGTTCCGGAGGCGCGAAAGGTGTGATAATAAGAAGATATTGGATATGTCCTCTCGGAGGGGAACAACTGTTTCCATACCTTCATCTTTTGCGAGCAGCGAGCTGACAAGAATCGCACCTTTCTTCTCCCCCTCCGACACTTCTCGAGAGAGGGGTGCACAAAAGATAAATGAGTGTTCAATCATTGAAATTTCGACGATCGGGACCCTTTTGTCTCCGAATTCAAACTTGAGATTTGGCTAGCCAATGAGGAACAAGAAACCGAAAATTTTGCGATGACAAAAGAATCACTAGTGAATAATTGACACATCTCATAGAAGAGAAGAAGACCCTGCGGTGTCATTTGAGAGCCATCTCTTCCGGCCCCGGACCTTCGGCCGCCCGCCCGACCGAAACCAATTTGTTTATGTAGGAAGAGAAAAGGTGTGGTAGTGATGGGTCCGCTAGAGGTTTTTGAGTGGCACGCCATTCGCAAGCTACTCGGATTACCACTCTGATTGACAGGAAAACTTTTGGGTCAAAAGTTTAGAGGGTCTACTGTAGAGAGAGAGAGAGAGAGATAGAAATCTGAAAACCGGCGGCGCCTGGCGCTCAGATCCTTATCGAGCCACCCCATCGTCGGCGGCGACGTTAGTCACTTCCAACCACTTCTAACATAATAAATCACGGGAAACACGCGTTATTTTCCGAAACCCCGCGTGCCTCTTTCCGGCGATTAGAGGGGATTTTTCGAAATAAAAAAAGTGCATAACCTATTGAATTCGTCGTGGTCCAGCCACACACGCTAAGTGGTGTGTGTACTCTGCGAATTAGGTGATGGAGGAGCGAATGAATAAAAAATGTGGTTCGCGAAATACCTGATAAATTGTCACGAAGAGTGAGAATTAAGCGGATTTTCGGGGAGCCAGCACGAGAGCAAACAACATAATTATCTGGAGTTTTTTAATTGTGCGATTCTTCTGCTAAATGATTCCAAGGAATTGAGAATCAATGAGAGGGAAGAAATATAGTGTCAAGTGGTCACTATCCCCTATTCATTTCCTCCCCGAGAACACATCTCGAGTAGTTTTTGTATTGCCGCCGGCTGGCGACCCTATGGCCTTCGGGGGGCGCTGCGCACTATCCGTAAGGCCAGGAGGATATGTTTGTTTGAGACATCAGCATATCCTGTATGAAGAAATACGGCATAAATACACACACAGACCCTTATTGAAATGCGAGAACAGTGGGAGCCAGAGAGTTTTTTTTTGTTTTTTCGGCTGTGAAGAAGGTCAAGAGTATGGGGAGAGATGAAGCTAAAAATAAGTTTGGGGAGATTTTGGCACCAAAATCGAGAGGAATTTAGGCCTATTTTTGAGACCGAAAATTGGGCGAAATTCAGGCTTTTTCGGTGCCAAAAGTATGCCTAGATTTATGCCTATTTTAGCGCGAAAAATCGGGTTAAATTTTGGGACATTTTGGCGTCAAAAATCAAGCTAAATTTAGGCTTATTCAGGCTCATTTTCAGCGCAAAAAAATCGGCCTAAATTTTGGTCTATTTTTTGCGCCGAAAATCGGGTGTAATTTTAAGTCATTTCAGCGCCAAAAATCGGCCTATTTTTGAGGCCGAAATCAGCCTAAAATTAAGCCTATTTTGGTGTCAAAAATCGACCTAAATTGAAGCCTATTTTTGAGTTAAAAATCGGTCTAGATTCAAGCCTATTTTGGTGTCGATAATCGACCTAGATTTAGGTCTTTTTTGGCGCATAAAATCGGCCTGAAATTAAGCCAATTTTGGTTCCAAAGTCGGCCTACATTTTGGCCGATTTTTCGCGCCAAAAATCGAGCTTGGCTTAGACCTATTTTAAAGCCAAAAATTGCCCTAGATTCAAGCCTATTTTGGCGCAAAAATCGATCTAGATTCAGGCATTTTTTTGACCCCAAAACTCAGCATTTTTGGCTCATTTTGCCTCATTTGTAACACCAATTTCATTTCAGAAGTGCTCTTCGACCTATCCAAAGCCACGCCAGCCACCCGATGGGACTCTCTAGCGCTGAAACACGATCGAGATGATGTGGTAAGTCTTCTGAATACTTCCGTTGTCGACGCCTTCATCGCCTTCGTCTTCGTCTTCTTCCAATCTTCTAGAGTACACTTGAATTGGTTTCGTGAAATTGAAAAGAGATGAGACTTGGAAAAAAGAGATGGGGTCGGCCGAAAAAGAAACAAGTTGTGTTGTATGTATGTCGCTTCGTTTTTGCATAGAGAGTGACCCATGGGAATTTGAAATTTTTGTGTTGGAAGAGCTTTTTGTGCATACACACACCATCTGATGAGGGTCGGATGTGTACACAAAAAAGTTTTGGGCCTCAATTTAGGGGTCTAGGGAGGGGGGGGGACGTTCCGGGAAATACGACCCCGGAGTGGTCCGTTCCTTTGAAAGGGGGCTTTGTGTGAAGAAGAATACAGTTATTAGTTGACATTAACGGAATGTGACAGACACTGGGTGCCTATTAGGACAGGGTCTTTAATGGAATAGAGGTCCTAGGGATTACCATAGAATTCAAAAAAAGGGGTCCCCTGGCCTCGGGCTTTTTCTAGGCCAGCCGTGTTTACGAACAACTTGTGGCCACCATCCCAATAAAGACTACTAAAAATAATCCTATTAAACATTTCTCGAATTAAATTCTTCGGCTTTTCCTGCCCCCTCCCCGAATGTTCATCTTCCTTTACATTCAATTAGTAGTCGCTTTTCACTTCAGAATATCTCCCATCTCTTCAGAATATCTGAGGTTGATATTGGTGGGGGATACATAGAAAGAGAGAGAGCTAAAGTCGATTAAGAAGAAGAACATAGTGGGGGAGTCATTTAGAAGTCGGAATAGAGCATATGTTGCACACACACATATACATATTTTGGTGGGCTCAAATTAGATTGTTGGAGGGATGAGATGGGAGATCATATAGGGAACGTCATGGGGTATTTTGAAATTGGGGGAAAAAATGAAAAGTTTTGGAATTGGGAGCTTTTCGAGCAGTCGATTATTCTGAAATTCTGGAATTTTCAAAAATTTCTAATTTTGTGGAATTTGCGATTTTCTGAGAATTCCAAATTTAAAAATTTTGCATTTTTCGAAAAATTGAATTTTCGGAAATATTTCGATTTTTCAAAGAATTCCCTATCGATTGGTATATTTTTTGACCATATTCTGACCACTTTGAGCCAATTTGAGCCAATTTTTAAATTTTTTGAAATTTATTCGATTCTCCAGAAAATTCCTTATCGATCAGTATATTTTTCATGCCGATCTGAGGATTTTTGGCTGATTTAAGCCAGTTTGAAGATTTGCAATTTTCTGGAATTCTGGAATTTTCGATTCTCCAGAATATTCCGAATCGATTGATACATTTTTGACCGTATCCTGACCATTTTGAGCTCAAATTTTTCCGATTTTTCTCCAAACTTTCCTAGACCCTTGTTGAATGACACCATCACCACCCTCTTCTCACTTCCTTCCTTCCTCAATGAGACTGGGAGGTTTGTTTGAATAGTGAGAAGGGGGTAAAAGGAAAATACCGTTATTCCTCCTCCTTTACCAAATGAAGCGGTAAATTGCAACATGTGAAAACTTGTCGTCACCTCTCCATCTCTCATTTGAATAATACCATTAACGGATCTGACCTTCGTGCGGCGGCTCCTAGGTGATAATGACCCATAGTCATTTGACGCCTTTCCCGTTGTCCTTAGCCTGTAATTTAGACATGTCCCCGAAAATTCCGGCTCAGTAAAGTGGCAGGAGCACTTAATTAGCCAATATAGTGAGCACAATCCATGCGTGTTAACTGGATGGGCACCAGACACAACAGGTGTGAGATATGACCAATTTGAAATGCAAATTCGCTTCGACGAACGGAGAGTGGGTCTCTCTATTATTATTGTTGTTGTTGTGGTGTTGTGCTACACAGTTGACACTGACCCCCTCACTCAGAAAGTGACAAATGTGTTGTGAATAATGGAGGTCCCTCCTGTCAGTTGGTTGGCAATGGATATGTATCAATGGAGCCGGTCTAGCAGGTGGCCAAGTTGGCTTCTGATGCACCTGCAAAGTCACTGTATCGTTATTCCGTTTTTCGAAAGAAAGACAATGCATACAAAGAAGACACACCTGGAGGAGAAAACTCGTTCCGTTAGGGTTGAAAAAGTACACATACAGAAGACATTCTTATTATTATTATTATGATTATGTGGCGTGTAAGAAGAGAAGCATATGTATTGAAACACCCTCCTGGAAGAATTGTAGAATCAAGACAAGGAAACTGGTTTTCCTTTGATGATTTGGTGTACTTTAGAAATTGGGAAGGGAAGGAATAGACGGGGTCAAGAACTGGGGCTTTTGGGATAAGAAGAAAATGTCTAGGAAACTCTCTATCGATTGCTATAAGTTTGATTTGGATCCTGGGATTTTGAGCCGAGATATGGTCCTTTGAAAACTTGGGATTTTCAGATTTTTAGAATTTTTCAATTCTCTAGAAAATTCCCTTTCGATCTGTGTAGCTTTAACAGTAATCGGGTCATTTTGAGCCAAGATACGGTCCCTGGAATTTTTAGAATTTTCCATTTCAAGTCTTCTAGGATCTCCAGAAAATTCTCTATTGATCTGTATAATTCTAGCCAGGATCATTGGATTTTGAGCCAAGATATGGTCACTGGGATTTTTGGGATTTTCAAAAATTTTAAGCCTTTGAGAATCTCCAGAAAGTTCCCTATCCATCTGTATAACTTCGACGTAGAGCTGATGCTTTTAAGCCGAGATATGGTCACTGGGATTTCCGGAATTTTTCAGATTTTTTGAAATTCTGAGTCTCCAGAAAATTTCCCATCGATCAGCTATACGCTTTGAAAATTATTGGGGGATTTTGAGAGGAGATCTGATCATTTTTATATTTTAAACCTTTGGAATTTTTAGGATTTCCAGCATCTCCAGAAAATTCCCTATGAATCTGTATAAGTTTGACCTCGAGGTGATGATTTTTAGCCGAGAGATGGTGACTAGAAATTTTGAAATTTTTCAGATTTTGCGAATTTTCGAAATCTCCAAGAAATTCCCTGATTTTGAGCCAAGATATGGACCTTTGAAATTTTGAAATTCAAATCTAAAGAAAAGATTTCCGAACTTCAAGAAAAAAGCGGAATTTCCAAGCTAATCACCCGCCATCACTTTTGATTTATGAAATGGGCCAGCCTAGTAGTCATTTTACGAATTCTTTGCGGTTTTACTCAACTTCCAACCCATCAAATTTGATCACTTCTCTCTCTCTTATTCTCGAGGAAACCTAAACCTTGATGACAAATTAGAGGACATAAATCAATCCGAAGACGAACTTCTCATTCTCTATTGGCTCCTCCAAAAAGTTTCCCAGGAATTCTGAGCAAACAAAGGGAGCGAAGAAGCTCATGGAAAATGGCTGTGGTGTGCGCGAGAAATGCGAAGGCACACATTGTCTTATGCTAATCCGTGCGGCAAACTACTCTCCTCTTGAGGAGTGGGACTTGTTTCTCACGAAGGGATTCAGAAGAGAGCTTGAAGACGTTGGGCTGCCGACACCACTTCAGAAGGAAGAGGTGTCCGACAACGACTACTAATCTCTTCTTGTCGGACAACATGATTTTTTTTTTCTTGAGAGAGATAGAGGTCACTCGGTATTGTTCGTTGAAGAGAGATCGTTGAAAGAGAGAAGACGCAGAGAGGAAAAGATGTGAATCTCGCAACTTCTTCTGAATTGTGAACACGAAGGTCGAAATACATAAAGTAGGGAAATTGCCATTTTTCCTGGGGATTATGAGCCTCTCTGGCGTCCTGAAAGTTGTGTATATGTACTCATACAAGATGTTTATCATCTTTAGAAGACGTGCCTACACACGCAACGTCTTCTAGTAGAAGACGTCTTCTACACTTTTTGAAGGAGAAGTGTCCACTCGCATTGTTCCAATTGCGTGCCGTTGCGCAATAATCTAGAAGAAGGGACTTCCGACGATGAAAATGATGTGGACTTTTTGAAGAACAAGGGATTCTGAAGACGTTGAAAATTCTGAATCCATCTGTCTAATTTTGACCGGATTCTAATCATTTTGAGTCGAGATATGGGATTTTGAAAATGGTGGCCTAGAAACTCAGAAATTCGATTTTCTAGGTCATTGCTAAAAATCAGCATTACTCGCTTCAAAATGAACCATTGTGATTTCAAAAACCTTCAATCAAAAGCTCTGGCCTAGCTCTTTAGAATGATGGCCTAGAATCCCGATTTTCCAGGATTTCTAGGCCATCATCTGAAAGAGCTAGTTTAGAGCTTCCCGACGCTAGTTTCGAAACTCGAATTCATCTAATTTAAGCAAATTTACACCGCTTTGAGATTGATGACCTAGAAATCCGGATTTCTAGGCCACCGAATACAAATTTGTGTAACTCGATTCAAAGTCGAAATATTCGCTCATGATCTAATTTTTCCAATATCTGACCTAGCTTCCTTCCTAGGCCACCATATGTATACACTTGACAGTTTACGTTTATACGGTATGACGCAATCCGATACGGTGCTTCTTCCGGTGTCCGTCTGCTGTTGCTCCTCCAGTAAGCACAATCACCATATGCTTATATTATGCAAAAAAGGGCAGAGGGGACATTTGACCTAAACACTAAATATG